GCCATGGCCTCACGGAATATGGGGCTCAGGGTTTCGGGTGACATACTACAGGGGGCCCGTACCCCTTAGAGTGGGTCTCTTTCAGAACTTACCTAGACACCCCACCTAATTATAATGTGTTCATACATTTTTCTATATTTTAGTGCAGAAATCCACCACTCCAAGTCATAGACCAAATCGCAAATATTTCATCTTTTCATGAAAAAATCACTGTTCAAACCCCTACATCCTCCGGAATCGGGATGTCTCAAGGCTACCTGCCCACACACCAGCTGTCTTACCCCAGACCCCCTGACGGCAACTGGTTCCGGTGGAAACTGTCACGGATGCACGCAGGTACACACACAGACACACACACACACACACACACACTCGCCAAAACCAAAATGAAAAGCAGCAAACCAGTGCGCACATAAAACGATACTGAGTCGAAGTCGTACGTACTAGATGTGCATTTCCACAACTGAGCGCACATTAGATCTTCATTCGTTGACACACCTGCCCCCTGATCAGAATGGAACCAAACCGGATCGCACGGGTGAAGAAGTAGTAGTAGTAGTAGTAGTAGTAGTAGGAGTAGCAGTAGCAGTAGTAGTAGTAGTAGCAGCAGTAGTAGCGATAGCAGCCAGCAGCAGCAGCAGTAGCAGGAGCAGTGGGGCCTGTACGTCGGCACTCTATGAATCTTTCAGGCCCCAAATTCTGAAAATCTTTCACGGACGCCTTGCTTTACATCTTAAACCCCGTTTTGTAGAAAAGCAAAGACACGGACCGATCACATCGTTTTCAGAAAAACACAGACCGAGACAGAGCTGTAGAGTGTGGATGGCAAATATACAAAGAGGACGGAAGAAACGTGCGCTACGAGTAGCCCAAGGCCAATAGTACCAGCTGTGACGACCGGACAAGGTAAAGGCTCTACACTGTTCAATGCTCGATGTAGTGGTTGAGCAGGATGGAAGATAAGCCGAAGAAATTCAGACACCTAAATTTCACGGTGAGCACCACATGGTCATGGTGGGCTGGTGACAACCGCGGGCAGAAACAAACAGCGACCTGGACCGCCTCGTCAAAGGCATGAACAAGCTCTTGGAAAGAATGCAATATCAGCAGTTCCGCCGCAGCACATCTGCTGCCGGAACAGACACAACTCTTAGTGTGACTCTTTACGCAAAGAAGTACAGAGTATTGAGTATTGGCAAGCAGGCCATGCCAGTAAAAGAGTACTGCAATTCATGATGACTGGCGGCTGAGAATGTCACAAATGCAGAAAACTATATCATGCGTTCGTCATGTATGTTCCGAGATGAACAGATGTGCTAAAGCGTGTGCTGACTATTCCGACATTCGAGATTGGGCAGCTTCAACCTCGTACCACTTCCATCGCAACCTTGCACCCCACAGCTTTCAGCAAAAGAGTGACCCTTCCTGCCCTCAAATCTCTCGGTGCGGTACAAGCTTCAGAATAATCCGAAATCGCCTCTGTGAGTTTTCCATCGTCCGTTCTTATCGTTCAATAGCCTTTGGCCTGAGCTGCGATATTTACCGTCTTTCGACCTAGTATTAGGTGAGAGCACCTCGCGCTGCCCAATCACGAACTGCAGGTTCGCCGAAGATGCAGCAAGAGATAGCTGCCCGGTTGAACTGACCCTGCTGTGAATCAGAATTTGCACAGGCTTCATGAGTGTTGTCACTGCTCGCAATCCGAGCCGGTTGACTGGCCAACGTAAGTATAGAATCCCGCTGGCGACTCTCTGGACGGCATAAGGCTTCTCGACAGAACAGTGGCATTAAAATCACCGAGCATCACCGACCTCCGGTTCCCGTGGCTGACGACAGGTGAAGCCGTCTAATCATGCCGGGTGTGAAACTTGGGAGGTGGTATCTGGCTTGGGACATGGCCGTGATCCCCTGCATCACCTGAAACATTGACACCTCTGAAACCGTGAGCTTACTCGCACGATTAATGGTTGCCTGCAGGGACATCACCGCGCGCCCAGTGGCAAAGAGCGCTCAGAGCTGGATTCTTGTGGCCTTCTTCTTCAGATCGCAGAGGGCCTGACCCAGGCTGTGGCCGCGCACCACAGGCAGTTTGCCTGACACAGTGGCAGACCGGGATCTGGAAATAGAGAAAAGCAGCTTGTAAGGAAACGCTGCCACGTAAGCCCTCGCTGCAGTGAGCGGCTCTAATTGTGATAGCAGGTCAATTGCGACCTGCACTTTACCCGCCAAGTGAGGCGGCTCAGGGCCGTAGACGCGGTCTTGGGATCGTTTTCTGGGGGGCCTACATTCCTACTAGTGGCCGCAGAATAACACGTCAGTGAATGAGGGTGCCATGACAAGGTGGACCTTCCTGTGAGAAATGGAAGCTGAAACAAAGCCCACGTGCATGCGCCTGATTGAGGCCTCACCTGGGATTTCGTTGTGTGTGCGATGTCGATGTCCACCTTCAATCAGGGATTTCGGCTGGCCGTAATGTGTCTCTCCGTACGTGCCCCCACCTCCTTCAGATGCACCCCAGAATCGATGGAAGTTCTTCTATCTGGGCCCGTAAAGCTTCCTCGTCTCGGAGTCTTGCTTGTTGGCCGTGCCACCAGTGATCGCAGGGAGGGCGTCTCAGCCGTCGCAGATGGTGGCGCAGGTGCCGGGCATGAAAGGCGCTTGCCGGAAGCCCCACACCGAAGGACTATATCCCTCAGCCTCCAAGACCCACGCTTCCCGCCCTCGGCCTTCATCGGGCCCTTGCCATCACCACGCTCCGAGTCGAAGAATGAGAAAGTCCTGGCCTCCTCCTCATCGTCTGAAAGACTTCTTGGGACAGTCGGCATCTTTTGCATGGCATTTGTCCGCTCAGGCACATGTCTGGCACAAGCCTTCCTATCCTCCCTGTGACAGTGGTCATCTGCGAGCTCGTCTAGATCGAGACACACGCGAGTTCTGTTTGTCCCGGAGGATTCGTCACTGGCGAAGGCGATCTTGTGGTCGGAGTCTGCAGGAAAGGAATCGGTTGTAGACTTGCCCTCCTTAGCTGAGCCTAACGACCTTGTCAACCGTGCGCGCACTCACAAGAGGGCAGAGCAACAACTGTCTCAAGCGAAACCTACCAGCAAGGCGCGCCTCTACTGAGCCATCTACAAAAGCTGGGGTAGAGGTGTCCACCTTGTCTAGGCTTGGAGTCGCAGATGGAAGGCTCCTAACCCTCGTCGGGCCTTTTGGACGAGGATTCTTGAAGTTTTACAAGTCTCAGCCACGGCTCCGAGCTCCAAAAGCCCGCAGGGTGCCGTCGACCGGCCTCGTGTTAGTAGTTTGCTGCACCACATGAATGCGACACATCGTGCCGCACGATCCGATCTATCTGTCATCTGAACTACGGGCCCCCGATGGGAAGACTGCGTATCCTGCGCGCCTTCCTTTCCCGAGGGGACGGAGGCCGAATACCGGTGACCTTTGCAACCGCGCCAGGGTGCGAGCTCTGACAACTTGACTTCGTCTAGCAAAAAACCGAAAGGACTCTGCTACGTCAAGGAAGCAGGATCCGGCAGAAAGTTGAAGCAGAACCTTCGAAGACTATGCTGAGGTCATGGAGAGCCGGTCATTGCCAAACGACTGCTGCCGCTGCCCTATCGTTCAGGAGGCCATAGAGAATGGTTGCATATGTTACGATACATCGCGCCAGATAACAGCGAACGTCGGCCTTGAGTCTAGAGCAGTATGACAGCTGGGACCATTCCTTCCCTGGGGCCCGTGCTGGAAAGCTCATCCTCACCGGTGCCGGCAACTAAGCCCACCGGGTCCACGAGGACGACTCGGACGACGCCTGCGCAATGCAAAACAATGGAATGCGTGTGGCTGCCAGTAAACAGGCGGCCAGGACGTTTCCACGACCACTGTGCGCTCTTGACAGTCGGATAAGTGATAAGCGGGTTGCACCAAGTCTTCTGGTCCCTGGAGGCAACGAACACAGCTTCTGAAAGGCTCGGCCCCTGCGCCAAGCACACACCCACACGACTACAAAGCTGATTCCCTGCACCTCCGTCGTCTGCACCGACACTCGAGGCAACCTCCCTTTCGAGCCAAGAAGCCGGCGGCATCAAGTTCTTTCGCCCTCCCTCAAACTCGCAAGAAAGCCCTACAATCATGATCACGCTCTGACTGGGCACCCCTTACATACTCTGGTCTCCAAACCCTGATGCATAATTGAATTTGGCCGTGCACCTCTAGCCCCAACATGCCTGAGACTGAGGGCGTGACAAGTATCGAGCCTCGTCAGGCCGTGGGACTAGATGGGCACAACGACACGAAACTTCGGGCTTGGAGAGGCCAAGGGGTAATGTGCTGGAGACCGGCAAGCTATTGCCTTTGGATTGGCCTTTATTTGCAGTTGGAAATACCAAGTTTCCTTGCCAGATACAGCACAGTAGCTTCTTCTATGGCGCCCAAATCAAAGACCAAGCAAGAGCCAAAGAAGCGAACGTCAATTCAACGAATTGGAGGTGGGAAGGCCAGCAGGGAGCAGCACCTTCATGGAAATCGACAAAAGGAGACAAAGGACCGACGGAAACATTAGCAGTGCCGATGAATGGAGACGTAGATGAGACAGGCAAGACAACTACATTATGCCCGTACGCGAGGAAATCGTTGCACATGGGGTGCGCAGATCGGAGGCACAGGTCCGATGCTTGGCGGAGACGAGAAAGCTTTGATCCCTGGGCTCTGGTATTGTTCTTCAGCTTTTCAACAGGTGTAGCGTTTTCAGGCCCAATGTGGTGGCCAAACCTCGAATTCAATTTTAGTCACGCACACACGCACACTCACACACCCCTCGACATCCTTCGAAAGCCAACCTCGAAGTCGCAACAGAAAGCTCCCGTAGGCCAGGGACAAAGCTGCCACGCAGACTTCGCGTATCTGCAAGCAGATCCAAGCCCTGTGGACCCTGCCAGACAGATGTGCAGCGCAGTCGTCACAGGAATGTTCTACATGTCTTACACACATTTCCATATTGAATGTCGGGAAGGGTATCCACATGCTACTGTGGCGCCAATGGCTACTCTTCCGAAGACGCAGCAAGCGGGCTGAGGTGGAAGGGATTCCGCATGGTTTCACTTGTGCGGTGCCTCCGCAACGAGCCACGGCAGCGGAAAGTCAGCGTGGCCGTCCACGCTTCGCCGGAGCACCACCTAGATCCAACAGAGGCGAAAAGACCTCCTTAACGTCTGCCTGCGACCTGCGCACCTCTGAAAGCAACAGTCTGCCTGGAGAGTATGGAGCAGGCCCAGCACGTTCCAGCGGGAGGCCTGAACTGCACTGCACGCGAAGAACGGGGGCTTACGGGCGTGCTTAACAAATCGCAAAGAATGAGAATCGGATCGGTGGGGAACACAACTGTCCGGCCAGGCTCAGACAGTTTCCAACGGCGTTTTGGCTTCTTATGCTGTGAGTCTCCACTCATACGACCGGCTTGTCCTTATGCGAACCTGGTGCGGACCTCTTCGCCGCCCCTTCCGCGCCCCTTCCCCGCCCCCCGCCCCCTCCCACCGCCTCCACGCCCTGGAAACTAGAGACCATAATTTGGTGCAGTCGTGGCGCTTGCTCTCTACATTTGCGGTTCCCATTGCTCGTGCCACTACTTCGTTCGCTCCCTAGAGTGACTCGGCCTTGAGCTTTTCCTACTAACATTTTCTCTTCGGCTTTGGGCTTTGCCTTTGCGGCTCCAGTGGCAATGCCAGTCGAAATAGTCGTAAGACAAGAGGAGCAGTACGTGCTGAAGACCTAATCATTGTAGTGCGAAAACAGTCATGACGTCGTCGGCGTAGAAGTGTGGAGCGAGTACCCAGACGGCAAAAAATACGTTGTCCGTTTCCGATCCATGAAGCGGCATCCAATATGCCTTGGCATTCCCGGATGAAGGGAGGGCGGACGTATGGGGAGCGAGCACAAGGAAAAGCCAGGTTCGCATAGTAAAGCCAAGTGCACATAAGGAAAAGCCCGGTTTACCATAAGGAGAAGCCTGGCGCGCATAAGGAAGCGAAAAAGAAAAACCATTCGCATAACGCCTGAGACCATAGCACGGGCGAGAGGGGGATCACGAAATCGGGAGCATAAGGACAAACACACAGCATGAAAAAACAATGCCCAGCCCCATTGGAACTTGTGAACCCAGCATTAGGTGGGAGACGCCCGTTCCTGTGCTGCATGTGGCTGATAGTTCTCAAAAGCACCAACTGTAGACACCATAGACCATAGACCTGGCTGGCTAATGTGATTGCATCCCGCTCGCTTGGGCACAAGCCAAGACCTCGCTCAAGGGGTCTGCTGTGGAGATGTTTCCCAGCTCATCCCTGGAGTCCAGGGTGACAGCTTGGCTGCTTCGGAGGTGGAAGCTGACTCGCACCACGCAGCGATTCTCATGGTTCCGATCCACACCCGCAGAATCATGCATTCTGCCATCAATGCCATCATGGAGCATGCATGTCGATGGTCGTCCCCATTCGCATATGTGTGCTCAATCCAGCATACCGTGAAATTCTGAACCATAGCAATGACAGCCCACGCGATATCACAACTATCGCGACAACCCAAGATGTCTACATCGACGGAATGCCGCAAAGCCCATACCATGCCCCAAGCCTGCGCTGCGGAGCTTGAGACAAGTCTCCCTGGCTGTGCACAAGCGGTGCAACACTGAAACCCGCAGTCCCTCCATCCCCCGAAGTCTTGTCGTGCTTGAGTGGAATGTACATGGCGATGGGCGTATGACTGTGGCCTCGAGCCACTTCATCATGCGGCCTCGGCTTTGCTTGCTGGCTTCTCGAGGTGGGGATGCCGGGTCTAGGGCTAGGAGTCACCTATCTTCCGAATGTCTGCCGCTGGGAAAGAACCGTGAAAGAAAGAACTGCCTGCGAGCTGTGATGCTGGAATCTCAGGGCACAACCACATCATAGTTGTATGTCTGCGCATCCGAGCAACCCGAAACCAAAACCCCACTCCAGACTGAGCTGAAGGCGCAACATCTAGCAAGAACCAGTCACGCAATTTCTCTTGCTCCGACAGTCTCTCATACGAAACTGACTACAGTCCCGAACATGTTACCATGTAACGTGCCAGTGGCAATGGTAGTTACTGAAAGTCAGGCGCTATGTACAATGTACCGGAGCGACAGATGCATCGGGCACCTAAATTTATTGCAAAAGCACTGCCTCCAGACCAAGTCGCAACTGTTCAACAACTTCCCACGCCTTTTTCAAAACATGTCACACTTCTCTTGTAGCAATTTCTCTATGTAAAGCTCTTCTACACCTTGCCGAACTGCAAGCCCACCTCCTATTGCGGCTCCTACCACGCACCTTCTATCCAGCAACTTCCTTCTGGGGAGGCAGCTTTTGGCGGACATGACCATTCGGGAGATCTGCGGCCATGCACCAGCACCGTAGCGGACGGCCTGGCTAGACGCTCAACAGCTCAGGGCATGAACTGCAGCTTCACTCAGAATGAAACACGAATACGTATGACTCCGAGATTCGCAATGAACCCGGAACGGGTCCACGAAAAACAGGTCATGCTGGCGTCCACAACGGCGAATGCCAACTCCTGAAGAACTGGAGAAGCAGGCGCTGGCATCCAGTTGACAAGCATCCATTACTCCGGAACGTTCAGCAGCTGAGCTAAACATAGCCACAATTACTGTGAACATGGCTGACGACTGGGCTGTCTAATTACCATTGAGCTCGCGCAGGGGTCCGCCCGTGTCGCGAGACCAAGCCCTCATAAGGCTGCTCTCTCAGCTACACACGACCGCAGGAGACTATCACGAGCCGCCGAAAGCCCAAATCCGCGAACACCTGCACCGTACTTACGTACTTGGTGTCGTGGGCCAAGCTACCTCCATGCGCCCACCCTCACAACACCACCTGCCCGGCGCCTGCGCTGCTTGGCCCAGTGGGCACCGCGGCACTCCAGGAAGCGTCCTTTGCACAAGAACTCAAACCAGACCAATCCCCACTTAGAATTCAACCCTTGAGCCCACGTCCATTTCACGAATCTCCCGGATCTCATGGATCATCCAAGAGTATCAGTACGACGGTCGAACCTGAAACAATGCCAAGGAGCACCATGAACACTGCCTCCCCAGCTAGAGCACTGTTCACCAGCATATCAAAGAAGAGCTGGGCTCGTTGTATCTCCTGTGCAGAATGTAAGGGTCCGGGAAACAAGGCTGCAACGGCAAAGGCAGAAAAGCCTCAGTGGTAGCTGGAGTGCTATGCCATGCATCGGAATCCGGACTATGAAGTTGAATGAAGATGTTGGTCTGCTGGCTCGCGGGCCACACATTCAAAACGCTGCGCGTGCCCTTTGCTGCTGTAGCGGTTTGGACATCTCCCGCTCACCTGACCCGACCGTAAGCCCTGAAGCGAGGAACGGTGTTACGAGGTTCGCGACCCCACGGGGAGCCCGGCTCTCCTGCGCATCGGCCGCAGCCTCATCTTGAAGGTCACAGCGAGGCAGTGGACACAAGCGATGACCTCACGTCCACAACACGCTGCGGCCGGTCTGCCTTCATGAGCTTCCCTTGCGCATCTAATTACTAATGGCCTAGTAAGCTTAGTAAGCCTACGATCTCTCCACAGCACAGAAGCCCCTTCGCTAGATCTTTTGCACGTGTGCCGCATGGACTATCCAGGCTATAGAAGCTCAAGGTTGCAAGCTAGACTTCGGAAGAAAGCACCTCATTTTCAAAACCCGCAACACCTAAATCTACGAAGAGTCCGCCACACCACAAGCTTCAAACTCGCACGTCAACAAAATCGTGCCCTGCGGCCGCCCGGAAGGCGAGTCGTGCCAACCGCGAACATCTCACCTTACAAAAAAGTTTAGTTGGGTCGGGGAGTGCTCACGAGCGCCAGCGATACAGATCATGACCATAAAAACATCAGAAAATGCATGTGAGAGCTGCTGCTTCAATGGGATTCTTCGTTCGCGCACACACAGTCGCGAGATGTCGCGAGTGTTCTCCGACGTCAAATATCGCGGGGCCTTTGCGTTGCGCTGTGTCCGGTCGCTTCTTGCAGTCCTACGCTGTGAGCACATAACTGGATACAACAAGTTATTGTGCCGAACATCTTCTTGTCGCAACGGCAGAAGCACGTGAAAAGTCGACAGTGTGCCTGCTGGCATGCGTCATCATGTGTCAGTGCGTCATGCGTGAATCTTTCAAAGGCCTGGCCTCTCGCGAGTTGATGCTGAGAGGCAGTCCGAGAGGAAGTACTGACCCCGCGTCTGTTGCATGGGTTGCTCAGGTGACTTACGTCGCCATGAAGAGCTGTAACTGTAACCACCAACTTCCTTTACATCGCGGCATCTTCTGCATTGAAGACGGAAACAAGAAATAACTTCCCTGGTCCATGCCGAGACAGGCTTCGAAGAGCTCTAAACCATGTGAAAGCACATCATCAGAATGACGCTGCTCTGAAGCCAGCTGGCAGGACTGGATCGCCTGCTGTGCCTGCACATTGTCCGAGACGTCACATACTTGCATCGCACAGACTCTGTTCAGACCACAGCTCTTAACTGCTCGGGGCATCGAGCTTGGCACTGTAACCCTGACTCACGGAATGCGACTTGAAAGCGCCCTTGCCTGGTGGAGCAGCCCGAAGATGGGGAACTCGGACAAGAGGACCCTGGGCGCGGGCTTCTGCAGCTCCCTGCTGCTACGGGGCAAAGTCTCAGCTGAGCAGCAGAGTCCAGTCCGCACTCGCGAAGAGTCGCCAATCCACCTAGCGGAGCTTTGCTCTAACCGTAGAGGGGCCGCGGCTGTTCAACTTGCATCGTGAAGTCGCTCTGAGCGCATGCAAGCTGGAAGATTGGGGGAGGGCGACTAGGCATCAATGCAAGAATCATGACCGCAACCGTGAGGAGGCACCGGTCATTACACACACACACACACACACAATGCTTTTCAGAATAACAATCAGGTATGTCACACCGACAGGTCAGCTGCCTCAAACTCGTGCGGGTAAATCTGCGGAAACTGCATCAGAAGGCCCCAGAACTGCAGGGCGAGGACACCCAGCCAGCATGCCTCCGCATCACGGTCTGCTGGGCCCAAACCAGATATTAGCACCAGAGCTCATAAGAAGAAGAATGCCCAAAAGAGACTCTCACATAGACAGAGACCAACTCCCAGCTATCAAGGAGACGTCAATGGCATTGGACCTCCTGCACTCGATCGTTGAGGCTGATCGACCAAAAAAACTCAGGACCGACGCCCTCCTGAACCTGCAGGTTTAAGATCCCACTCTTGCAAACCTCTTCGTTGGCGGGTCCGTGGCGATAGGTCGTTAAAGCCTGCACGGACCTCAGTGCAACACACAACAAAGCAAACATGGATCCAAAGCATCTGAGAACATCTTCATCAACGTATGCATCACTGCCACAGCGCCCGCTCATCACGGGCCCCTGACACCAATCCTATTCGACGTGTGTCCTGCACAAAGCTGCAATGGTGACGAGAGCTCCACGCACAAAGCACCCGCGGTCCTGCTCATCCCTACTTCCCCGTCACCATCTACCTTTATCCACACCGGAACTCCTTGGTGGTCAGGGAGAGCCCGGAGTCTGTTGCGCTGACCTGCTTCGGGCAGTGCAGACTTTGGGGGCTTGCGAAGCCCACTCAGTTTCGAAATGCTGTAAGGCCTCCAGCTTACAGCTGGAGAAACGGCATTCCAACGCCCAACGGCCCCAACACTCGAAACACCAAGATTAAAGTAACAAACTCTGGACACCCAGCCACCTGACTCCAGAGCCACCTGCGCATCTGAATCCAGTTTACCTGGGTGCCAGGGCGTGGACAGTGTCTGTCTGTCGGTCTGTCTGGCTGTCCCCTCTTCTTCCACAGCCAAAGAGGGCAGAACCTTCCTGCGCACGCATGCGCCCTGGTCTCCAAGGTCTGTTTGTAGTGAAAAAACCCCGGATGAGAATGGCCGTCTCCCTTGTAATTGTAACACCCTGAACACTAAAAACCCCACGGCCTCGTCTCATCCTAGGGCGCAAGCCAGAACTTGTGCTGTATCTTCTTCCACACAGTCAAGAGCACGAGCGGAAAACCACTAAAGATGTGCTGTATCTCTCTCTCTCTCCTGGGCATGGGGGACTGTCAAATCCCCCGGGCAGAGTGCCCACCCAACGCTTTGTTGGGAGCAAGGGAGTGAGTAACGGGTATAAGTCACTTTGAAACTAAAGCCATAAAGAATACGATGGTGCACTAAGTGACTGTATACTCTCGATGAAACATGCAATTGTGCTAACCTTGTGTTCCCCCGGCTGTAAAGACAGTACGAAACAATAAAGGGCATCGAGGGAACCTGAATGGTTGGCACAAGTGAAGTCATCTCGACTTCCACACAAGACGTCAGGGGTATAGCAAAAGTATAGTCG